TAAGCGAGAAAACCCGATTAAAACACAAATAAAATTCCATCATAGATCAAACTAACTAGACAGATTATGTGTCGAATAAGAACACTCATGCCAAAATTCTAATCGCCGATTCAGTTTAAGAAATAATAATGAAACATCACACTCAAACACGATGATTCTGTTTGATCATCAATTGCCAATTTTGTTTTATGCAAAATTGCATAAAGAAATTCTGTTTGAAACAAAAAGATATGAATACTCTAAATAATTCAATATGAAGGAGGCTCTGATACCAATTGTTGGAATAAATCCACGAATACTTTAATCTCCATACTGGAATTATCTAGAGAAATAACTGAGCGGAAGCGTACCTGACTCCATTGGAAATGATCTTTAGAGATCCGGGAGACGGAGACTAGGGTTTGCGTCTTCTAGTTGATACACACCCTCGGGATTATCTCTCTAGCGATGTGATGCAGAAAGACGGAATGACATGTTCAACTAGGGACAATAACCCCTCTATTTATAGAGAATGCTTAACCTTAATCAGCCCATCATTAATTAGGTTAAGCCCATGGGTCTCTACACATTTGGGCCTTATACCTTATTACACAACTTATTAGCCCACTTATATTAATATCCGTAAGACCACTAATTTTTTGGCCTAAATATAAGATAGCATATAACATACAATTAAACTCAATAAATAATATATTGTAAATATTACATGTAGTATAAGTCCAATAATCTAACATGAAATGCAATGTGCAAGTAGTAAACGATATGATGATATCAATTCAGAATTCTTGCATTCCAATCATGATAGTGAAACTAGTCATGATGATATTGATTTAGAACTGTATGATTCAAATTATGATCTTCTAGAGGATGATATTGAAAATAATGATGACTTATTTTTGACCATTTTATAGATAAGGAGGTAGAGAAACACGGTGCAAACAATCTTAATACACGTGGTCATGAGTCAGATGCTTCAGTGGATACACTTTATGCTCCATCAGATGAGCTTTATTCATGTTCAGATGATGAGTCAGATGGTAGTCATGGCACAATAAGAAAGTCACACTGGTCATTTTTTAGTGAAACAGATGACGTGAAAAAATCCGACTTTAAAGTTGGCATGATTTTCAACACTTTCAAGCAGTTTAAAGATGCAGTGAAGATGGCTTCAGTAAGATCAAAGGACCAAGTTGTTTTCTGTCCAAATAACAAAGAAAAATGTAGAGCCATATGTAAAAACTAATGTTGTTTCTACATATGGGCATATCTCACAAATCCAGATCAGAGTGCAGTTCAGATCAGAAGTGCAAACCTGAAACATCATTGTGCAAAGGTGAACTACAACCGACATATTACCGCAAAGTTCATCTCACATTATTACAGTGAGAGTTTTAGAATTGATCCTACATGGTTGATTGCAAATATACAAACAAGTGTTAAAAGAGATTTCAGTGTGGAGATTTCAAGGAACACAACTTGGAGAGCTAGAGACATTGCCATTAGGTTTATTCATGGAGATGAGATTAAGCAGATGGAAATGTTGCAATCATATGGAAAGGAACTTTTAAAAAGCAACCCAGGGTCAACTGTTGTGTTTAATTTGGATGATCAAGTGTTTAGGTCGATGTATGTATGCATCGGGTCCTTGAAAATAGGATCCAAGTGTTGTAGGAGGCTTATTTCAGTTTGAATTGTGTTAGTTTGAATGGTGTTAGTTTTCACGCAAACATAAATCAGTCAAAAAAATATGCACGGAAGTAGATTGCTATTTATACATTTACTTTCTCCAAATTTAATGAAAGTCGAAGTAGTTAGATGGCAGTGGAATGGGCAATACGTTACTTTCTCTCAAGCAACACAGGTTCAACTCCCATTGCAGTGTTCTCGAAAATTTGATTTTTTAACAGTTTTGTACAAATGACGTGGTAACTGAAGATGTGGATAAAAATAATGATAGGATGTAGTATGTGGGTTTCCGGCCACCATGTGGCATTTTTTCCGGAAAATTGAGTAGTACCACCGGATGCAACATTTAAAGATAGTTTAGGTACCGATTTGATTCATTAAAAACTTAAGGTACTAAAATACACCATTACTAATAGTTAAGGTACCGCCTAAATTAAATTAAAGACACTTAGAAAATTCTGCTCTTTAAACAAAATCATTTCTAAATACGATAGTATTTTGTTTTGCACAACTGCGCACACACTTCCTGAGACCGCATGGTTCAGCAGTAGTGACCACACACATCCGCCCCTGTCTTCTATAGTCTGCCGGCGGCGGATCTCTATTCTCCTGCGTCAAATCTTCCGGCGAGTTTGGCATGTGCAGCGTTTCTCTCTCAGCGGCAATATAGTCTCTGCGCCTCAAATATTTTCAGAGACGTCCCTTTTCCTAGACGAGCCTAGCTAGCTTGTTTTGTGTTCCCTACTTCCCTTTCTCTCCTACCACTACAAAAAAACACTTGTTTTGTCACGGATTTTGTCACGGAGCGTAGTTCAAAAAATCTGTGACAAATGATTTTTGTCACGGATTTTGTCACGTACCGTAATCCGTGACAAAAATCCGTGACAAAGAGCGAGTTTTTTTGTAGTGTACGCAATGAGACACCAAGACACCTAAATATTTAAATTAAATACTCCATTACTCCGTATATAAAGATATGGTGAAAAATTTATTGGAACTTACAGTATACAACTGAACACACTACAAGACTGAATCACGAATTTGGGACAATGAGTGAATCTTCAACCGGAAACTCATTTGTCCATTTGATGAGCTTTCCAATTCTCTATGCTTCAAGAATTTGGGACGGCTACTGCAGGGTTTAGGAATGAGACAAACCAACAATTAAGTGGCATTATTATTATTGTAATTTAGAAGAAAATTAAAATGTATCAAATACATACTACGTGATATAAAAAGATTGGTCAAGCTAAAAGTCTAACATGCACCAATTCAATTCAAACGTCAAAGTTGCAGGATGTTCACTTGATTATGAATGCCAAGTTTATACTAGATCAAAAATGAAAAAGTAAAAACCATTACAAAATAATTTGAGGATATCAACTAGTTTCCATTTCCAAATAAAACTTCCCTTTCGTGAACATCATTTCAACCGGCTGCATGGGCCAATATGCTCCTAAAAAAACGCTGGAAGTTAATGTAGGACGTTTCCTAAAAGAAACGCTTGTTTCCATTTGAACATATTGGTATTTTTGTTTTGCTGGCATTCTTATTAAGGGCATTTACGGAATTATACTGCATGTCTCATGTGACGCTGGATGTCATGCCGTATTTGTTGGTCATATTTCACATATGTTTAACTTTTTTGGTCATATTTTGGGAATGTCTCTATGTTTTAGTTATATATACGTATTTTTCCCAACTAAAAATACTATGGTCGGAGTACGTTTGGGTGTCTATATATAGACACATATACATATGGATGCCTCAGGAAAATTTGAGGTGATAATGTGATATTACCGTTGAGAAAGCTAGAACGACGCACAAGGAAAACTCTCGGGAAGAAGAGACGACGAAGATGGATCGGAGATTCGTCGGCGCCAGAGAAAGTACTTCCTTCGTCCCTTGTATCTCAAGAAGCCACCATGCGGAGGTGGTTGGTCAGGTGAACATGCGGTCGTCTGAAGTCGGAACTGAATGTGCGCAAATGTCGTGAACCAGAGGAAGAGGGAAACCATATTAAATGGTGCATTTTAATATTAAAATGGGTATATTAAAATGTTTTTCTTTTAAATTTATTAATGCCACGTAGGCTAACATGCATTTTAATGAGCACGTTGCGGGCTCGTTAAAATTTCTGCCCTTAAGTGGGCCAGCGACTTTGAAAGACATATTTCGCAAAGAGTCAATTCCCTATATGACTAAAATGTGGCAAAATAGCACAAATAAGACTATATTTTTTAAAACCCCCAATAGGATTATTTATGTGTGCTTAGACAAATATACCCTTGTAAAAAATATTTTGGGGGGGGGGGGGGGGTTACTATTCTTTATAATTTTTTTTTTAAAAAAAAATATTAAAAAATATTTTTAATTTTTTTTTAGGGAAAATGGAAACTAATAATCCAACCTTAGCTTTTAGTGCTCTTCTTACGATAATCTCACCTTTTTCATTATTCATGAATAATCCAACTTTTGCACCCCATCTTCATTCACTAGTCCTTGATCAATTTATGACCTGTTATTTTCTTATCTTTGTAAAACATTATACCATAATTCACACTTTATGATCACATAATGTTTTGCAAAGATAAGAAAATAACTTGGAATAACATATCATAAATCGGTCAGGGACCAGTGAATGAAGATGAGGTGCAAAAGTTGGATTATTCATGAATAATGAAAAGGTGGGACTATTGTAAGAAGACCGCTAAAAGGTTGAATTATTAGTTTCCATTTTCCCTTTATTTTATAAATATTTTATTAATTTTTATAATTTTTTATTATTTTTACGATTTTTATGATTTTATTATAGATTAAAGCATTTCATTATGAATTAATACCCTTAGGGATATTTAGGGTAGAAAATCAATGTTTAGTCATATTTGGGGAATTTAAAAGGGAAAGGGTACAAATATATTCTAATACTATGAGTGTGAGAACAAATATATTGTTGTTCTATTTTTTGGAACAAATACACCTCTAAAGTTTATATGGAAATGCATATATACCCCTGAACTTCCCAAAAAATTCTTCTCATTTCTCTTTTTGGAAAGTTTTGTTTGGTTACAATTCACTTACCTTTTTCTTACTCAAACACAATCATACATTTCCACTTTTTCTCATTTTGTTAAACTTCGATCCAAGTCAATCAGGGAAGAATTTTCCGGGACGAAGGGAGTAAAAAATTATCCTTGGAGTTGGACCTCATCTCATTGCAACATTTACAGGATTTTATAATTTGCTGGGTTAGTCACAAAAAAGCTACTCCACGCAGCAAGCTGCTAACTGTGAAGAACAAATCTGTATGCAACCGGACTTCAGAGACAATTTGTTCTAATTATAACAAGCAAAAGAACCTACTGTCCAAAAAGCAAGGTATGTATAAAAAAAAGGAAATGATCTGCAAGATATGCAGGTACAACTTAGAAGAAATTTACACAAAATCTTCTCATGTGTTTTCCAGGCGGGTAAGCTATATATAGAACATGATTAAAATGAAAACAAAAACGAAAAAAGATTTAAAAAAATTTATTCGGATTCAAGCAAGAAAACATTTGGAAATCGATACAAAAAGCTCTTAAAAATTCAACATTTAAAACTCCACCTGAGTGACAAAATACATTAGATGATAAACGGCTATTTGACTACTAGGCTGCAACAGCAACAGTTTCAGTCTCATTTGATCTCTCACATTTCTTGGAATAAAACAGATTCAACACGTCAGCATTGTCACGTATGTACTTTGGACATTTGGCAAGAAAGTCTTGAGCTGTATTCTGCCTTCCTGCTTTAAAATATGCTTCAAACAGATTGAGAATTACAGTTTTTGAAGGAAACTTCTTCACAGTCATCGCTTTTGAAAACTTTAGGGCATCCTCGGCACTTCCATCTTTGGACAGATACTTGATGAACCCACCTATACAAGGTGGGTACCCATGATTCTTCATCATATGAAGAACTTCTACAGCTTCAGAAAAATACCCCTTAATCAACAATTTCCCTGCTAACAGCTTATAGGTGCTTCGCAGAGGATGTAAACCTTTCTCATTTACCAAATTCTTCACAAGTCCAAATGCATCTTTAGTTTTCTTCTCACAACAGTATGCTGACACCAATGATTCTAGAACATTCCCAGCACAAGCAGGAACTTCTTTTCCAATCATTTTCTCAAGAACCTCGGAGGCTTTGCATAGATTTCCAGCATCACAGTATCCCTCAACCAATGATGCCCAAGCTCTATAACTCAGACTTGAATCTGATGAGTCCATATTGGTCAACAACTCAGTTACTTCGTCGCTCTTTTCATACAAACTATGATAATATAAAATCTTACTTTGCTGAGACTCGTTAGGTAAGAGACCAAAGTTTTCCAAAGCTGTCAAAATCTTATTGCATTCATCCCATCTTCCAGTACTGGAAACTGACTTCAAGATAGCATCAAGAATGGATTTTGTTGGCATATTCCCACTTTCTTTGAAGACCCTCAAAACTTGTGAGAACAAATCCATATCAAGATCCTTGCTAACAACTATTTTCTTTAAGAGAAAAGTGCAATCCTGCAGAGATGGCTTGTTTTCACCAGACATTGCATATGCATAGAGTTCAACAGCGTCTTTAATCATTTTCTTACTAGTGAAATGCTCGAAGAGTTCAAGGTATGTGGAGGTTTCCATTTCATAACTATTGTCTTTCATTTCACTCATAACCCTCCAAAACTTCTCAGTTGAACCTTCTCTGCCCAAAACTCTCACCATAGTATTATATGTACAACCATCATGTTTGAACAAACCAGTCTCTTCAATCCACCTGAAAAATATCATCCCTTTGTTGATTTCATTTTCAAGATTCATCAAAACCATTGAAACCAAATCACTGGTATAGTTGAAACCCCGCAGTTGGGTTTCCAAATTATAATCCCACATAACATTTTGGCGTATAATCTTGCATATCCTTGAAACAACTTTTTCTATGGAATTGTCCGTTGATCCAGAAGCATACATGTGGTTCAGCTTCTTAATGTCATCAACTAAACCTTCCTTCTCAAATTTCCCCAAAGCCCTACTAAAAGCACCCTTAGACACTCCGTACCCTTTCTTCTTCATTGCATCAACGATTTCCCAGAAATCATTCACATTGCCACTGTTAACCAGCAAACCTAGCAAAAGATTGTAGGACTTTGAGCTTAATCTGTCGCTATCATTCTCCGAAACCCAGTCAAAAAACCTAAGCGCGGATTCAGGGGCAAATCCATGACTACGCAAAACCCTAAGAACCAAATCATGAGTAATAGCAACACCATTGGACTCTAAATCAAGCCGGATATCCTCATTGCTTTTGTCCGCCTTAGAAAAGATATCATACACAGTAGTAATTGGATCCGACTGGCCGTTGTGATCGCTGGCGAGATCAGATGTAGAAAACCAACGGAACGGTGTAGAGGTTCGGAAAGGAGAGATATGATGTGCACGGAAGTGGAAGGGCGCAGAAGCAATGTAGCGGAAAGTGTTCCCTAGCTGCCCATTGAGGCGAGAGTGATATGTGCTTCTTGCTACGTTTGGGTGAGATGACCGGAGAAGAAGAATCAATCGCCAGTGGTTTCTCATTCCTCGACAAATTGCTTCTTCGTTCCGTAGAAAGGAATTGAGCGGTTAGGGTTTTGAGTTAACGGATCTGAGGCCTGGCCGAAATTTGATGGCTGACCAGGGTGGGTGCGGTCCCGTCCTGTCCGGTCCAATATTTTACCGAACTCGTACCCGGATCGTTACTATTGAAACGGTTCGGTCTTAGACCTAAACCCGTTTGGTTCGGTTCCATGTTTAAACGGTTCGTTACCATGTCATACCAATGCCAAACAATGCCACTTTTTTGATAAATTAAAACTTAGTCATCATCCAAAAATCTACACAATTATCAATTTTCATACTACCTCCGTCCTAAAAACTTTGTCATTTCAAAAAATTTGAACCATGATTTTGATTAGTATAGAGTAGGGATGGACTCAATCGGGTCGGCCCGGCCCGGAACCGGCCCGGCCTGCTACTGTGCGGGCCCGGACCGGACCGGGACCGGTTGGCCGGTTCCGGGCTTTTAGCCCGTTTGGGCGGGTCGGGCGGGCCGGGCTCGGGCCCAGTTTTGGGCGAACCGGCCCGGGCGGTTCGGCCCGGGCGGTTCGGCCCGGGCGGTTCGGCCCGGGCCCGGGTCAATTTTTTTTTTTTCTATTTTTTTTCTTTTCCTTGGGTAGGGTTGGGTGTTTGGGGAGGTTTGGGGGTGGGGTGAGGGGGGGGGGGTCGGGAAATAACAAGAAAGCAAAAAAAAATTAGACATTGAACCGGGGGTGGGGGGTTAGGCGGCAATTTATATCCTACATCCGGATGTACAGGTACACCCGGATGTACAGATTACTCTCTCGTATTTCTCAAACTTGCGTAGGTTATTCACATCCTTTTTTCCGCCGATCATCTTCTTTGTGTAATCTGCTTCCATGAAACCGGGCAAAGGCAGGGCGTTGCTTCCCTTCAACTCATGTCCCATGGCGAAGTGATGATTACTGCTTTGGTTCCTTATCTGAGCTCTCAGCTTTTGATACATTATGTTTAGATTCCGGGATTTCCGGCGGAAGATGGAGACGTCGGTGACGCTGACTATGCTGCACCCTAGTGTCACTAGGTTCGTCTGCGGCTCTGCCGCCGCCCCACCATGACCACCAGATTATGAAGCTCACCAAGAATATGGGTTTTTGCCTCATGTAGATGTAGTACAACATCATATCGTTATCTTTTTTTATTCGCAGGTTATTAGAGAAATTATAGGAAAATAGGATGGTGGAGAAAAGGAATTGAAAAAAATTGATTTCTGGTTCCATGAGGAGGTCGGATATTGAGTTCGAGATGTTGCCGATTGAGCTTCTACTTTTCGAAAGGGGAATCTACTTCATTGCTGCTATTGATCTCAAATGAGTTTTATATTAAGCTCAAATGAGTATACACCTAAAAGGAATGAAAATACACAAAAGTTTTTTTTTGCATTTTTAGATATTTATTTTGTACATTATGTGTGCTCATTCGGTAATGATGTTATGCTCATTTTAAAATGCTATATCAATGCATATTTCAAAAGTAAAAGATTACATTAGATTCACATATGAGTTGATTATAAACACACGAGCACAAACCATGATACTCGATCACATAATTCTAGTACTCAATATCGGAGGTTTGGTGCTCACCGAAAATGTCATTGGTACAAAACTTATAATTTTCATATTAATGCTCATTTTGTAAATTGTGTTTGTTCATTTGGTACTGATGATATGCTCATTTTAAAATGTCACATAATGAATATTCCAAAAGTACCATATGACATTAGATTCACATATTTAAATTCATAAGAGTTGATTATAAATATATTTTAAGAATTTTTTATAAAAGCGAAAATAACCAAAAGAAAGTGAATTAAAAGTTATGAAGCAGATATCACGATGTCCAACATTAAACTATAATACTCAAGAAGATATGTTTAATGCTCATTAAAAGTTCACTAATGCTCATCTAACGGAAACCGTGATTAATTTTCATCTCAAGAGATGAGTTTTGATACTCAATGAAAATGTCATTATATTCAACTAACAAACCTGACGATTTTTATATCAATGCGCATTTTATAAGTTAAATTTGCTCATTTGGTACAGATTGTATACTCATCTGTAAATTGTCATATCAATGCATATTTCAAAAGTAGCATATTAAACTAAATTCGCATATTGAAATTCATAGGAGTATATTATAGATACCACCTCAATCCCAAAAAACTTTATCATTTTCAAAACTTTGACCGACTATATCTTTTTATTGAAGATTATTTATAATATAAAAATTATATGAAAATGTTTTTTTGTTAAAAGTACTATCATAAAAGTATAAAATTTATAATTTCCATAATATTATACTAATCAAAATCAATGTTCAAATTTTTTGAAATGGCGAAGTTTTGGGACAGAGGTAGTATAATTTCATAAGTTTTTATAAAAGAAAAAATAAGGGAAAATTTTGAATTAGAAGATATGAAGTACAGATCGTGATACTCATTATTAGCCTCCTAATACTCAATAAAATAGTTCAGATACTCACTAAAAGTACAATATTGCTCATTTAGCAGAAGTCGTGATTTTTCGCTTAAATTACAAAAATGCCACCGATTTTTTTTGGCTTGTATCAATTATTGGGCTGCCTTCCTTAGTTGGGCCGGGTGTACGTACACCCGGATGTACCATATAGGAACTGGGGTTAGGCCCGGACCCGGTATCAACCCGGGCCGGTTCCGGGCCCAAGGATTTGCAAAAAAAACCGCCCGGGCCTGGCCCGGGTCCATCCCTAGTATAGAGTATTATGGAAGTTATAAATTTTATACTTTTATGAAAGTATTTTTAACAAAGAATATTTTCATATAATTTTTATATTATAAATAAGTCTCAATAAAAAGTATAATTGGTCAAAGTTTTGAAAATGGAAAAGTTTTTTGGGACAGAGGTAGTATTACATAGTTAATGAATTTCTTATAAACTATAATAGTACAAAACATAAATAACTAGCAATAACATAGTTAATGAATTTCATATAATACTATTCATTTTTACCGATCGAGTTAACTAGCAATTAGCAAAGTGCAAATGAGTAATCAATGTAATTAATGGTAATATGGTATACATGTATATATAATTATAAAATTATATAAGTTAATAAAATTATAATTCGGTTCGGTTCGGTCCGGTACCGGTTCTCATTTTATGAGAACCGGACATGACATGGTTTGGAATCGGTCCGGTCCGGTTCGGGACAAATTTTTTTAGAACCGTTTGAAATCCCATTTTCCGGTTCGGTACCATACCGGTCCGGTTCGGTACAATGCCGGTTCGGTTATTTTGCCCACTCCTACCCGGTATGAACGAGTCTAGTCTGTCTAAATGTTTGGTTTCTGTGTATTTTATAACTATCCAAACTTGGTCTTAAATGGTCTGCTCTAGTCTGGTCTAGGACTGAAAACAGTCGAAGTAAAAACATCGTTATTGTATTTTACTCGTTGGCAATGTACAATGTGGATATTTTCTTTTGCACCGTGTCAGTCCTAGATCAAGCCAAGCTAGGTCATACCAGACCAGATTTTCGTAGTTATAAAATACACATAAACAAGACATTACCAGACCAGTTCAGACCAGAATGGACCAGCAAATTTCAGTCCAAAAGAAAACATGACACTCTTCCAATGACATTTGGTGGTGTTGGAGAATCTAGAAAAGCGTTCCTTTTTAAGATTTGCTTGCAATTTTCAAACTAATGATTTATCATTTAACATTATATGTTCTTTTGCTTGACTAAGCTAATTAGCCAAAATGAGATATTACCTTGAGTAAAGAGAATTATTAAATATAACATTATCAATAATAAATTAAGAAGAAAAAATCATAGCTAATCATTGAAGTACATCTTAATTATGCTGCAAATGCTTATGCGAATAGTCGAGTTATGAAGGTAATTAGCTAACCGCTAGAGATACTCTTAGAGCATCTCCGGTGGGAGGTTGTATTGTAGTGATGTGACATAAGAGAGATAAAGATATAATAAATATTTTAATTTAACATTAATGAAGTGACGTGTAAGGAAAAATAAAAAAGACGAGAAGATAGAAAAAAAAGTAGATTTAGGTCCATGAAAGGTCAAATAAATGAATCTTACACGGGATTCATGAAGGAAAATTTGATGAAAATGAGTTAAAAGTGATATAAAAAATGAAAAATAGTGGGACCTACACGTAAAAGTTGTGTGATAAAAAATGTGAGCCATGTGTAGGGTGTGTAAGAGACCACACTTTGACATGAGTATGTAATATAATAACTTACATGCTTGGTAGGCATAAATTTTTAATCTCTTCTTTTTAACTTTTATATTATTTAAAAAGTTCCTTAAAATTTGTAGTTGTGTGTTTAACATGAAAACTAGTGTAGCACCCAGTGCGTGTAAAATTGACAGAAATATCAATAAATATTTTGAATTATTTATATGAAACGATCAAAAGTTTAGCTATAATTAATTTTTTTATGAACTAACCACCATCATGGAAAATGGTGAGGAATCACCATCTTTTGGAGTATGAATTTGTGGTTTTATTATTGTTTATATGCTAATTGTTGTTTTAGTTGTGGAATATTAATTATTTATAGGGCTGATTATATGATGAGTGATGATAATAAGAAATGTGGAATTAGAATTGGGAGTATGTGGAGTTTACATTGTTTTAGGTAGTTATTACATGCATTATTGGTGTAATACTTTTAGAGTCCCGCTCACGTGAACTAAAGTTTCATTATTTAAAAAATTTGGTTGTGGATTAGAGCTTCACTCAAATATGTGAGATTGATTTTTGTATGACTAAAGTCCTATTACGTGTATTAGAGTCTCATTACTTAAATTTTTTGATGTTGTACAATTTTTTTTAGAAATTGAATTGATATCACATTTATTCTAAGAATTATACTCATTAATATAGTTGATATTAAGTAGTTGTTTTATCCATTTGGAGGTAAGGGTCAAATTGGTCCTCGAAGTTGCATAAAGAGTGTCAAATGAGTCCTTATATAGGAGGTTCTGTCCAGCCGTCGCCATTCGGGGCAGTTCCCGGTGGATTTTTTTGAAGAATTCATTTGAATGCCTTCCCGATTGAAGTTTTAGCTGAAATTTGGTATGAGTAAACTAGAATTAATGAATAAGATGCTCAAAAAAGTCCATCAAAAAATTCTACCGGGAACTTTTCCAAATGGCGACGGCTGGACAGTAAAGTCTTATTTGATCCTTTTTATGCAATTTCGAGGACCAATCTGACCCTTACCTCTATTCATTTGATATGGATTTTAATCTCTGGTCTAATCTGATCTGATTTTTTATGATCTATTCTAGTCTGGTATGATGATCCTGCAGTATGAATGTTTCCGGTGGCGGATTTAATGTTTAGTTTTTCAGTATTCAATATTTTTACAATTAATAATTTAAAGAAGTTATATCATTGATTTATAACTCAATTTTTATTTCGTTAAAAAAAATCAATTTTTACTATAGATTTGATATATCATTGATTTATAACTCAATTTTTACTATTGACTATTTTTATTTATATATATGTAATATTAATTGGTGTCATATGAAAGATCATAAAAAATTATAAAATATGATATATTTTTTGTAAAAATTGTAGTACAAAAAAATTACAGAACTTCAAAAAAGATTCTTTCTCACCGCTTTCTCCAAATGAGCTGGCTTGATTAAAATAAATAGCAGTGGTGCACTGAGTGAATAGAAGTGATGCACCAAGTGAACTTAAATTAATCATTATTTTTATGATTTATAATTCAATTTTATTATATAAAAATAACTTTTTTCATTTTTATATATGCAATATTGGTGTCATATGAAAACTTATAAAAAGTTATGGATTTTGATAAATTTATTTTAAAAATTGGAGTAAACAAAGTTATAGCACATTAAAAAATACTTAGCTTGCTCTCCTCCCCTTTCTCCAAATTTTGTAAAGACTAGAGTATAAATGAAAAAGTTATAGCACCTTAAAAAGAATTTTATTCCTTCACTTTTTCAGAATGAGTTGGCGCGCGTGATTAATGTGAATAGAACTGATGCACTTGGTGAATAGCACTGATGCACCAAGTGAACTTGCATTAGTTAATGAATAAGAGACTGACACATCACTTATTTTTAACTCCATTTTATTTTATAAAATAATGTTTTTATTTTTATATATGCAATATCGGTGTGATATGAAAGATCATAAAAAATTGTAAATATTGATGTACTTTTTGTAAAATTTGGAGTACAAATAATGAAATAAATAAGTTATACTCCATCTGTCCCTATTTAAAAATTGGAGTACAATAATGAAACAAATAATGAAAGTGGCAACGTTTGGCACTCTTTTGACACTCTTTGACACTATTTTACTTTTTTGTTTACCAAATAAGGAAAGAGACCCTTTATAGGGACGAACCGAAAAGGAAAGTGAGATGTTTATTTAATTTATAGACGAAGGGAGTAATATATTAATAAAAAATTCTTTCTCCTTCCCTTCCTCCAAATTAGCAGTGATGCATATAGTGAATAGCAACGGTAAACACCCGCACGGGTAGCTCAGTTGGTCGAGTGGTGGGAAAATTGGACCAAGTGACCAAGGTTCGAAACCCGCAGCGGCCGTGTGGAGGTTGCAGAACCTGAAATAAGACTGGACCTCTGGCGTGCACGTGTATAAGGCCTACTGTCGCTTTGGTGACTGAGTCACCGTGATTAACATCCCCACCATCCTGTCGGGTCGGGGGGGGGGGGGTCCTGGGGTGGGAGATTCCACCCTTTGGACCAAATAGCAACGATAAACCGAGTCAACTTATATATGAATTGCATACTTTAGTAGTAATGACAATATTTTTTTATTAATCAATAGAATTTTTAACTTATCGCTATATAAAATAATACTCCCTCCGTCCCTGAAAATACTTCCAACTTTCCATTTTCGTTCGTCCCAAAAAGAACGTCCCTTTCCCTTTTTGGTAAAGATTTTGTGGTCCACAACAATTCTTACACATTTCTCTCTCCTCTGCACAACTCACCACCACACAAAACCCACTTTCTTAATCCGTGTGCCATTTATACTACGGAAGTAAATTATGGAACGGAGGGAGTAGATAATTTGTATATATATGTGTGTGTGTGTGTGTAATATTGATGGTATATGAAAGATTATAAAAAATTATGAATTTTGATATTTTTTTTTGTAAAAATTGAATTATAAATATAAAAGTTATATAACTTTAAAAAATAGAATTTTTTTCTCCCTGGCTTGCTCCAAAACAGCCTTGATGCATGATTTTAGGAGGAATAATAGTGATAATAACCGTGAATCAATGAATTATTTTAATAATAGAGATAATAAAATTTATACTACATAAAACTATAAATCTTGATGCATGATTTTAGGAAGTTGACATATCATTGCTTTTAATTCACTTTTACTATATAAAACTATAAATTTTTAAAATCTTAAATTGAAATATCTTTTTTGAGATTCTCTAACGAATAGCATATGAGAAAAATGGATAGCTTTTAGCATTAAGTATTCCCAACATCTTATATAACAAACATAATTAAATCAAATACTCCCTCCATATCATAACAGGTGTCTTATTTTATTTGGACGTATCAATATAAGTGTCTCACTTCCATTAAGGAAATAAATCCACTCCAAAAACACCTACAGTACACTTTAACAAAGTACACAATACTACTATTATACCAAACGTCTCTTATTTTTTCCGAAAAGTGTACGATAAACTTATAAATTACCTTAAATTATGTGAAAAACCTTCTGAAACACTTATTTTAGTACGGGGAGATATATTAGCTTTTTACAAACAACTATCACCTTTTTTTAAGATCTTTTTAAAATACTAAAAACTAAAAATTATTAAAAAAATCATAAAAGTATTTTTTCAACTAAAGTGTCAAACAGGTAAATAGAATGGCTCTAGAATAACGGTCGGGACCAACGACCCAATGGGCTAAATCAAATAAATTTAATACAAGATCTACTACGTAGCATTAGGGTGTTGTCGGCCCAGGTCTAAGAAAATAGAGAAGAGAGAACGGAATACGGCTCCTGCTCTGGCGCTCTGCACTGCAGGACTGCAAGGTCTCAAGGAGTTCAAGCGAGTGAGCGACAAGGATCAAAGCCTCGATCGCCGCCAACGCGCCACGCCTCCAGGAGTCCAGGTTCCACGCGGCTGACGCCTATGGGTATGTATTCTTGTTTGTATGAGATGATTGAGTTTTTTTTCATAAATTCATTCCCAATTCTTTAAGCAGATGTGATAGATACAACCGTCAGAGGGAAGAGAAAGAAGAAATCGTTAAAGAATAAGAAAAAGGAGAACTGTGAATTAGCTGAAACGGAAAATGTTGCTGTTCCCAAACCTAGTGAGGCAGAAGGCGGACTTCGCTTGGAGGAGGACAGCATTGCAACTGATATTGGGGTAAACCAAAAGGTAAAATCAAGCAGGGAGAGAACAAAGTGTGGACAAAATGCTGCAGCAGACAGTAATGCAGATGAAGTTGAGGAAAGCCATAAGAGAAAAGCAAAGAAGAAGAAGAGAAAAATGGAGAAAGGAACTAATGTAGCCAGTGATGCAAATGAAGTTGATGAAAGCCATAAGAGAAAACCAAAGAAGAAGAGAAAAATGGCGAAAGGAACTGATGTAGCCAGTGATGCAAATGAAGCTGAGGAAATTCAGAATGGACAATCAAGAAAAAGAAAAAGTAAGAAGAAAACAAGGAAAATTGGAGTTGCCAGATCCTATATTGATGCTGAAAACAAGTCTCAGCAAAATGATGGTATAATGGAATTTTCTTCTTCTTTTTCTTCTTCTAGTTTTAAAATTGTTTTGCCTATTTTTCTGCTAAAATATCCTTTACTTTTTAATTCTGATTGAGTACGTCAAGATTTATTAGATTTTGGAACCGGCTCTTAAAGAGTTTTTTTTGTGTGTACTATTCAAACCCCTGAACCTCAGGCAAGGCAAACAAACACAAGGACCAGCCATCTAAGGCAGATAGCTTTCTGGGAAAAAGTAGACAAGCTGAAGATGTTTATGAATTATCATCTGGAGATGAAAGTTGTAAAGGAGTGCGAAGTATGGCTTACCTTCATTTATAACTTGACATGTATAATTGTAAATTCTGGTGAAGCGTTTTTTAGAAGGAAATCAATACTTGTGTTTTACTGTTTTATATTTAGAGCCCGTTTGGTAACAATGAAATTGGTTGAATTGACTGATTCTGCTGAAATTTATGAAATTCCGGGTGAAGTGACTGTATTGGCTGATTCTGTTGATTTATGAAAAAATTATATTTAAAGTATTTGTTATTAATAAATCAAATAAAAATTATATGAAAAAATAGCTAAAATGATCCTCTATAGTAACATCAGTCAATACAGCCAGAAAAGTAACTTCAACCTTACTTTTTTTATTATTACACAATTCAGCGCGCAAAAGCAAAAGTTATGTGTTTGGTAAAAAGCTGATTGATAAGCCTCGTAAGCTCAAAAAAGAGGTCACCAAACGGGCTCTTAGTTATAGATATGATTTCTTGTTTGCTAGTCATTGATGCGAGTACCTACCATGTTACAATTAAGGCTTAGTTTGCTGAGCATATTACAATTGTCCTGAATTGATGGTATTGTCCCTTAATGCAGAATGGGTTACAGAATATTATCAGAGCAGACCAGGATTGCATGTGTTGCAAGAAAAAATTGACGACTACATAGTTGCTTATGAAGCAGAGAAGGAACAGGTAAGCCATGAGTTTCTTTTTATGTTTCCATTTCATTGGTGTTTCTTTTTGACGTGCAATGTTTGAAGTCTACTTATTTGTTTTGTTTAATAGTGTTAATTGACTTAGTTCTACAAGACTACACTCTGTTGTACTGCATTTTACCATAAATATTACAGTAACATTCATAGTGTTTTGTTAGGTTTTGGACTAATAAACTTGATAGTATTTAGATATGAAGTCATTTTCTTTTACTTATATATCATACTCCCTCCGTCCCTTAAAACTTTGCCATCTTTCCTTTTTGGGACATCCCAAAAAACTTTGCCACTTTCCCTTTTAATCAATTATTTTGTGGTTTCTATTATTTCTCTCTCCTCTGCACAAACCTCAACCACACAGTTTTTACTTTATTATTCTTTGTGCCGGTCAACTTTGGCAAAGTTTTAACTTTTAAGGGACGGAGGTAGTCATCATTTTCATTTTCATTTACCCCAGTGCCGCAAAGGCTCCCACCTACGGTGGGGTAAGGGGGGGTCGGATGTACGCAGTCTTACCCCTGTACTAAAGCACAGCGAGACTATTTCTGGATGACCCATAGTGAAAATCGCGTCCAAAATTGCATGGACTGACTGTTGCTCCATAACAAAGAAGCGCAGACAGTTTAGTGAGCCATTTTGCTTTGTTCCATCATAATCTCAAGCCAAAAAAGGGACGGAGGTAGTATGTTATACAATATTAAAATGAATCCTCCTCTCTCTGCATCACCTGATTTTAATTTTTCACTAGAATATTGAAGTATTCCAATTTTTTACCATATAAACTTCCTAATTTTAACAACACAACCCCTGGACTTAGTTCTCTGAATCTTTAGTGTATTGTAACTTTAAAATCTAAAGAACAAGTTGTATTTGTTATGCTAAGCATTTATAAACTGGACAAGTTGTGGATAAAAAAGACATCAGTTACTCTATCCTTGAAGCCAGCCCATCCTCAGTGTGGGGTTAGTTAGTGCAATATTGTATTAGCTTTGTTAGTTCTGAGAAAAGTAACATACTGTAGCATGTGTTAACCCACACACTATCTTATCTGTACTAGTCTGTTGTTGCCCTTATAAAATGAGCTTGTTTTTGGGATCGTACAGGAGAAGAAGGTAAAAGAAGCCCTTATTGCAGAAGATGGATGGACAGTTGTGTCACATCACAAGGGACGAAAGAAGACAGTAGATTCTGAATCTGGAGTTGCCGTAGGTTCTGTTTCCCAGGCTGCTGTATTAGAAAGTCTGGCCAAAAAGAAACCAAGTGAGACAGGTCTGAATTTGTACCAATTTCAGAGGAGGGAAGCCAAGAGAAATGGTATGACTAGTAAAATAGTTCAATTTTGCTTGTCTGTGTGACTGGAATCCATCATTTGATTCATCATATATAGCCTATGTAGTTGAAATGAGTTTGAATGGAATTGTTTAATTTGCGGAGAATCATTGATAATACGGAGTATTGATTAACTTGCAAAATAAGGAAAAGATTATATACATAGAAATCTTGTTGTTGAAGTAAAAAAAGGAATTGAGAAAAATACCAAAATGATCATCTTTCCGCACCTTAGTCGAATTCAGCCATGCAGTTAGTTACCTACAAGCCTACAACCTACATTTTCATTAAAATAAATTAGTGTAACAAAAATGGTTCACAAGCCGGAAAAATTGCTACCAAATGGCCATAGAGTGTAGTCCAAAATTGGCACTTCTACATAAATATGACATTTTGATGTTATTTCTTTTTCCCTTTATTTTACAACAGAGATAATGGAGCTTCAGAGCAAGTTTGAGCAGGATAAAAAGCGTGCCCAGCAATTGAGAGTTGCAAGGAAGTTCAGACCTCTATAATGAATTTTTTGATTTTTTCTATCTTTTGTTGGTGTTCTCAGAATGACTATTGGTATATGCCTATATCAGTTAACATTTTTCATGCTTTTTCTACTGGTGTCTGATACAGTCTAAAAGCACTTTCTAAATGCTTGCTTGCTCTCCCACACGCCGCCACCATTCAGAAAGAGGCCATCAACAATGTTCTATTCTCTGCTAACAAAGTGCCTTTTAAGTTTATATGTATCTAATTTAAACACAATAAAAAATGAGTTTATATTGCATTGTTTCTTCTGCATTAGAGTTTTTTACAGGATTCTGCATTAGAGTTCATAGCATTTTTAAAAATCTAATATTATTATTTGCATGCCATGATCACAATATGCTCGATCTGTTTAATTATTAACTAACGTAAAAACAATTACTAAAATAAAATGACACAAAGAGATAGGAAATATTTCTTAGTCAAGTTACTTTTCTTGGTCAATCATAGTCAAGTATGACCAAACATTGATTTGCATTAAATGACGACTACATTATTCGTGTCAGTTGTATTCCCGAGTGTAGTGACGTTGAGGTTTAGGATGTTTTTAATTGGACTGGAATTTGTTGGTTTGGTCTGATCGACTGATCTGGTCTGGTTTGAACTGGTTTGGTAAATGATTGGTCTCTGTGTATTTTATAATTATTCAAGTCTAGTCTGATTTGATCTGGTCTGTCTGGGACTGAAAATAGTTCAAGTAAAAACATCTTACTCGACCGAGGGAGAGGCGCATCCCAATTGCACCAAAAGGGGACCTTCCGTTTTCACCACATTTTCCCCTTGCGTTTTAATTTCTGCAAAAGGTAGCAAATCTCCTTCTAATCTTCAATGGCTTCTTCTTCTCCTCCCCTTTGAGCCGTTGAGGCTTTGAGGCCTCGCTCCATGCAACATTGAAGCCCCACGGGCAAATACCATAAATGATAGACTTAGGATGGGTCACAATGTCACATGCCTTCGTAGTTATGTTGTATTGCACAAATAGAACTAAGGACTAACTATGTTTCATTCTCAAAATAATAAGTAGTGCTTAATTTTATGTCCTAAATAAACATCATAGTTCGACTTTACGGTTTTTAACAAATCCGATTGTTTGGATTTGAACTTTCTTATCATGCCCCTACAAAAAGTAGATTAGGTGCAGTGAGAGAGATAAATGGATGCAAAGTACTATCCTCCGTTCCATAAAAGTTGCAACAGTTTGACTTTCACGGTTGCCAACGCGCAACTTTGACTGTAATTATATTTATTTACGTATTAGTAAACATTAAAAAAGTTAATATATTGGAAACTTACATTAATACAAATTTATTAATATTTTATACATAATATTTTTATTATATATATTATTAGAAAATCGTAGTCAAAGTAAGGTGTGTGAATAGTGCGGAAATTCTAATGTTGCAACTTTTATGGAACGGAGGAAGTATGCAATAAAATAAGGGTATAAGAGTACCTTTATACTCCGTATTAAAAAGTTATCAAAAATAGAAGTGTGAAATTTATTAGGACCGTAGGGTGTATAAAGTTTCTTCAACTAGGAGTTAATCAGTCTTATTTTAGGAAGAAAACATTGATAACCCCATATGTACACTATCTATATTTTAGTCTTATTTAAGGCACTTTCTCTAAATATCTATCATGTAAAAGTCACAACCATGAGTGACGAGTAGGGTTATATACAAATCAAATAATTTATGTTCGGTTCGAGATTCAAATTCATACATGACTATTTAAATTCGAAAATTCTAATACAATTATAAATAAAAATACTAAATTTGATTCGTATTGTTATCAAATACAAATAAGAATGTTAGCATATTTCATTTAAATGTTAATCAGATACATTCGATTAATAATAATTGTAATAACATAATAATAATAATAATAATAGTAACATTATGGTAACTTTATAAAAGTTAGCTATATCATCAAAGTGTGCATCTACGTATACACATTCCGGCTAGGTATGGACTCGGGCCGGGTGGCCCGACCCGGAACAGGCCCGGGACCGGTACTGTTCCGGCCCGGCCCGACCCGGTGGCCCGGTCAGTGACCGGTCCGGGTAGGCCCGGCCCGTGGGTTTTCCGGTCCGGGCTCGGGTCACCCAAAACAAGGCCCGACCCGGCCGGGCCCGGGCCCGGTTCGGGCCAAAAACAATTTTTTTTTTTTTTGCAATTTTTTTTAAAGTTTTGGGTTGGGTTGGGTATTTTGGGCCATTTGGGGTGGTTTGGGGGTTGGGGGTGGGAGGGGGGTTACTTAGGAAGAGGAAAACAAAAAAAAATTATAATGGGCCCGGCCCGGCCCGGCCCCGGACCGGACCCGGTGGTTACCCGGGCCGGTCCCGGGTCCACCATTTCTGACCCGCCGGCCCGCCCGGGCCTAGGCCCCACCCGGACCCGGCCCGGACCCGAGTCCAACCCTAATTCCGGCCTATTCCATTTATAATAAACAAGAAGTAACATAAGGTGTAAGAGTTGTAAACGAAGCAAATAAATTTGATTCAAATATTCAAAAGTTGTGATATGAATTTGAAAATATAGAATATGAATATGAATATAAATCAGATTTTCGGTTAACGCATTACAAGTATAATTTCAAATATGTATGTTAGTATTTATTTTAAAATCTTTGAAATAGATTTATGTATATTAATCATAAAATTTATTCACTTTAGTATATTGTGCACCTAAAAAATACATAAAATATTAGTAACATAAAAATACATACTTCGTATATGAAAAGCTGTTTTAAAGTGATACAATGTATTTGACAAATATTTAACTTATGATCAAATCGATACGATACTATTCATATTGTTAAACGAATATGAATCGAAATTAATATTCGTTTCATATTCGAATTCAAACAAAAAATTAAACAAATACGAATACAAACCACAACAACAATAAACTGCTCAATCAACTTTGCACAAAAAGTGATCAATCAATCTTTAAGATAAGTCTGAATTCTTGTCGTCAACTAGTAGTCTAGTAATTAACTGCGTAATTGAAAACAAACTTGTACGAGTACTTCGTATGTAAGGCACATACATGTGGGGGCCTGCCGGCAGGATGAGGCTAGATTAATTATAAACTAAGATTAATGAAAATTTAAGGAAATTAACTAAGATTTAAGAGGCTGCTCGCCGCGAATACGGCGAGCAAGCTGGACGTCCTTGGGCATGATGGTGACGCGCTTGGCATGAATGGCGCAGAGATTGGTGTCTTCGAATAGCCCGACCAAGTAGGATTCGGCAGCCTCCTGGAGAGCGAGAACCGCGTGGCTTTGGAACCTCAAGTCCGTCTTGAAGTCCTGTGCTATTTCCCGCACCAGCCTCTGGAACGGCAGCTTCCTCACTAGCAGATCTGTACTCTTCTGATACTTCCGTATTTCCCTGCCCAAGTATATATATTTCGTTACCCTCATAGATTAATGATTTTAAAAATGAAGTACGAAATCAATTATCACCAATACATTACTTCTTAAGGGCATCCCCATCCATGAGATTATTTAAAGTTTAATTGGATGATGTGTAAGATTGTTTTACAGATCATCATTGTTAGTGAGAGATTATTTAGAGAGATTATTGAAAAAGAAAATCAAGTATCAAGATTTGAATCCCGGATTATTCTAGATTGTAGTTAAAATGCATTTAATGCATGATCTAGAATATCCAATTATTTGAGTATCATGGTTGATGAAGAGTTTTAAGACTTGAGATTATTTGAGATTTATGAATAAATGTGATGTGGCAATGACGTGTTATCGAAAAATCGTTTATTCTAAGATCATGAATGGAGATGCTCTAATAATAGCTATGATGATATACGAAATTACTTCCTCATAAGTATCATTAAGGATGTTTTTACTTGGAATGTAATTCGTCTCAGACCAGACTAGATCAGACCAATTTAGACCAGTCTAGACCAGACTTGGATAGTTATAAAAATACAAAGAAACCTGATCAGATCAGATCAGATTAGATCAGACCAGCAAAATACGATCCAAGTAAAAACATCCTAACCCTCACTAATGTTTAATTTAGTAAAATTACTCTTCAACCAACCCAGTTTAATCCAAATTCTTGGATCCGTCATTGTCACTAATTAACTAGTGTAATTTAACGATCGGGCTTACCGGAGAGCGACGGTTCCGGGGCGGTAACGGTGCGGCTTCTTCACCCCAGCGGTGGTCGGGGCTTGTTTCACGGCAGCCTTCTTAATAAAACTGAGTTGCTTCCTCGGAGCTTTCCCGCCGGTGGACTTGCGTGCAGTTTGCTTTGTACGAGCCATTGTATTATATTCCTCCTGCTCAAACTCAACTACAACTGCTGTACGTACGTTCAAGCAATTCAAAAAGAGTTACATTTATCCAGGCATAATATTAATTCTAAAAAATAATTATTACAAGGTACGTAGTTTTAAAAAGGAAACTTTCTATAAACTAGCGAGGGGAAATATAACTACGTACCTGGAGCCAGGGAGTTTTAATTTGTTGGAATGAGGAAATATGATGAGGGAATGTGGGTATTTATAGTGATGGATGGGTCATGCGCGGGGACAATATTGCCCCCCAAGTTTCCTCTACTAATAGGTCTTTTTCGACATTACATAATTAATAAATCAAGGAATTAATTCGTGTTAGTGATAATTTTCATAGAAAACCATGATCCGTGTGCTCTAATTTTATTGGATAGAATTAGTTTATATATGCATGCTATGGATGTGTGAACGTGTCTTACTCTCATTAGATCGAGACAATTTTAGGGCAATGATCAATTTATTGATTATTTATTTTTTGCTGATGAGTTTTATATTTATGCATTATATTCTTAATTAATTTATTTATTACGTAAGTATTATTTATCTATGTTTTTGAGATTATTATGTGGTTTCTAGTTCTAAACAATTTATTAATTAAGAAATTGGGACAAATAGGAGTAAAAATATTAAAAAAACATTAAAAAATATTTTAATATTGTCATTTTAAAAGCGGGATAATTAAGACGTTGTTACTCTTAAATAGAAATAATTACTATCAAATTTAAAAATTAATGTCATTTATAAAGCAAGATAATGCACAAACATGATAATAATTACTTTTATTTTAGAATTTTCAAACTTTATATTCCACTTTTGATTAACTTCTATAATTATTCCATAAGAATTAGGACTAATTCTTATATCATGGCACAAACTATAGTTTTTTCCTAAATAGGACTAAGTCACTGTCATCCTAAAAATTACTGTCCGATATTACCTGGATTTAAACATGAAACTATATATCATGGCATAATCAACAGTATTTTACAAGCTAGCGGTCATAATTACTCATTTTAAAGATTAAAAATACAGTACCCTATTTTGAAACACCTTAACAATTTTAATTTACTCTTATTAAGATTTTTTTTATAACTTATATATATTGAGAAATTATTTAAACAATATCAACTATCAACGATGAACGGTTACTCAATAACAATACAAAGTATACAAATTAATATTGATACCTCAAGTTTTTGAATCAACAACAACAACATTTAAACCTTAATCCTAAAATATTTTGGGATCGGTTAACATGAATCGATCCATGATACGAATGTCAAAAAAGAGAAGACAGACAAAAAGAAGAATAAAAGTAAAAATAAAGTAAGATAAAACGGATAAGATGTAGATAAATAAATATAAAATAACAATAACATAATAACACAAGAGAAATAAAAGATAACGTTGAGGTTTATTCCTTCAAGTCAAAAGGCCCAACACCGGTAACACGTTCCTTTGACTATCGTTGGAATGTAGAGATTGAGATCAAGCAAGCGTGAATAATGGTCAACAAGAAGAGTCAATTAATCAACTATATTGAGGTAAGTATGTTGATTACACAGGAAAGGTCGAACGGGATCTCCGGAACAGATGGCTAATACAAGAGCTAAAGTCAAATACCTTGCTCTGAACTGACCCCTTACAATGAAATAAATGCTGGTATTTATACTATGAATGAGTGATGGGAGGGATGACGTGGCCGATTCTGAGTGGATGACCCCTAACCATAAAATCTCTCATATCTCTTGCATTAAATGCGCTTCCCACCAGTTCATGAGGTTTCCCGACAATTCTGCTAGACCGATCCTCCAAGGCTAGCCCTTCCTGGCTTGATAAACAGCTCAAGTGTGGCACTCAGCCCGTTCGATAGTAGCTGTTCGGCCCTTCCCGTGCGTGCTCTCTATCTGTTGGACCCCGTTGATCCTAGGCCTTTTAGGGATATCTTGGGCCTGTATTAGGGCCGGGCCCTAATATCCCAACACAAGTACCCAACTTCTGATGTTTTGAGCGTGCGCGAGACATAAGGAAGTACAAAACTTCCCTTCTTACGCCATCCGGCTTGACTAGATCTCCAAGAGTCACCACATCGTAGATTTCTCTCAATCCAGAACAAGCCCTTTTGACCCATTTGGGTGCCTGAGTGTGTAGGTGCCAACTTTGATGACAACGCTGACGATGTAGGGTCCCTCATATTTATTTGCGAGTTTGTCTCCTTCCGTTGGTTAGCTCCGGCGGCCAGAGTACGACGATAGTAAGTGGGAATTTTATCAATTCAGGACCCGAAAGATAGATGAATTATCAATCCGGGACCTGAAAGATGATATGTATCGGTTTAGGACCCGAATGATGGAAAACTATCAATCTAGGACCTAACATTTCATAGGTTATTATTTATTTAAGTTTTTATTAATTCTATTGCTAGTTTTTGATAAATTTGTCTACAAAACTTTATTAGTTTATTAAAACTAAATGATATTTAAAATTTTCAAAATAAAAATAATAATAAAATTCATGACAATTTGGACCCTAGATCGATAATTTTAAATCATTCAATTTGGGTCCTATAATGATAATACATTTCAATTTGGGTCCAGGATTGATAAATTCCTAGTAAGTGGCACTGTTGGGAGTGGGTAGGGGCTCACACTTACGGAGGCATTTTCTTGTATCAAACAAAATACACCTGTTTAAGAATTTTGAAACCCTAATCCTATTTTTGCACATCTCCTATGTTTTACTGATATCAGGTAATTAACCCTAACTCAAATTGTAAGAAGTCAATTTTAACCTTAAGTACAATCATCATGTAATATAAGCGGGGTTTCTTTGCAAAAAAAGCTTAAATGCAATCATTAAAATCATCAATAACTTGTATCAAACAATCAAATAAAGCTTATGTGATGACTTAGTATCATTTGTGATAGTCTAAATAACCGCATTCAATAATGAAGATTGATCATCTTATGTATAATTTTTATTATATATATTTGACACCGTAAATAAGCGCTTGGTCTGCGATAGAAAATCAGGGACGGAAATAACCATCTCAAATTTCTGACAGATTTATCGAGGGACCTTCGCTAAACCGCTAGAAATCCGTCGCTAATGTGGTTGTTTTAGAGCCGTCAAAATGGGCCGAAACCCACGGGCTGACCCATTTAAACCCATTTATTGGTGGGTTAGGGTTGTGAATTTCTAACCCATTTAGTTCGCGAGTTTAAGTGGGTTGGCCCAACGGGTTGCGGGTTTAAGTGGGTTGGCCCGCGGGCCAATATACAGACATATAGTTTTGACTTTTATTATCTTAAATATTATTCTTTTACTACCAAAAATATTATAATTACAATTAAAAAATCAAAACAATTGCAAAATAATTATTATTTGTATGATAAATATTCAAATAAAATGCTGAAACATATATTTTATGTGAAGTTCGATACAATATTTAGCAATTACTAGTCATGATTTACAAATAATAAATCAAAAGGTTTAAATAGATCTTTACTTTAATTTTATACAATGAGTATTTTTTTACATACCTTCTTATACTTTTCAAATTCTTGTATAACTAGTACTTAATATTTTTCAAGTAAACTTAACAAGTATTGAGTTCTTAGTATTTTGATTTCTTATATTTCCCTTATCACTAATTACTAATATAAATATATACTCCAGGGTAATATTTTTTAAAAAATCTTTTGTCATATATTTTTTTAGATTGGCCCGCGGGCCAACCCGTTTAACCCACAAGTTAGGTGGGTCGTGTAAGGGTTGTAAAAATCCTGGCCCGTCACTAAATGGGTTGGCCCGACCCAACCCACATAAAGCATTACCCGTCACGGGTCGGGTCGGGTTGACCCGTTTGACAACTCTAGATTGTTTTATGTGTCGTCGCTAAGCTGTCGGTAAACCGTCGTTGTCCGATTCCAACAGTTAATTTTCATCACCCTTCCGTTGGTTGTATCTTGTACTATTTATCTTTATTGTATTTCGATATAGAGTGAAAGAGGAACGATGAAACTAGCAATTTTTTAAAATGTGTAGAACAGATAAAAGTTGGATGTATGAAAGATACGAGTCATTTGCCAAAAAGGTTTCTCATATATTTGTTAGTGGTGTAAAGAGCTTTGTTGAATTTGCTAGTGTTCAACATGAGTTTATGAGTGAAGAAAAAATTCATTGTCCATGTTGTAAATGCAAAACTCGACGTTTAGGTGATATAGAAACTAGAAACTGTCAAACTTCATCTATTTCAACATGGTTTGTTGCAGATTATCATATTTGGAATTGTCATTGTGAATCGCTACAATTCCAACCACCACAATTTGTGGAAACGTGGATCCCTAGTAACGGAGATAAAAGTGAAGATGTCCATGTATATTCAGTTTATGGGAACTCAGGATGAAACGACACGGGATCAAAGCATGCTTGAAGCTAAGTTATATTTGGAGGATACGTGTAGCCATCAAACACCACAAATTCCACTCTGGAAATATCAGGTGTTGATTACAATAATGAATGAGTGGATGTAAACGAGGTGTCATATTTGACGAACCAATTTCAAAATGTTCTACCAAAATCGGATCAAGCTTTATAAGAAGGATGTCCAGAAGGGTCACAATTATAATTTGTCACAGGGTTAATGAGTATAAAATCTGATTTTAATGTACCTCAAGAGGAAATAAATCGATGGTTGGATTTATTTGGACGCTACTTACCTCGTGACCACATAATCCCACATAATTTTGATGAGACAAATAAACTTGTTGCCAAAGTTGGGTCTTCTCGTGATAAATATTGATGCTTGTCCTAACGGTTGTATGTTATTTTGGAAGTAGGATAAAGAATTAACACACCGTTCATTATGTGTTGAGAATCATTATAAATTACTAGAGGACGTACAATGTCAAACCAAAAAACGAAAAGTGGACTGCTAAATCTGTATTTAGATGCTATTGACTCCAACACTACAAAGGTTATATTTGCTATTGAAACTGTCAAAGCGATGAAGTGGCATGCTATCCACGAGGCAACCGAGACTTTGATGGGTCATCCTTCTCATGGTGAAGCTTGGAAGCATATCGACATTGACATTTCTGGAATTTGCCGCAGAGGCTTGAAATGTATGCCTTGGTCTAAGTGTAGCGATCGTAATCACATACTCATAATCAAGTTTTATACTTAAATAACTCACATACTCATAATCAAGTTTTATACTTAAATAACTATGACACTATACTATAGTACCTACTCCGTATTTATTTATATTTTTGTAAATAAATTCTAATTGAAAGTAAAATCTAGACAACCCATATTAGGTTTGGCCCATATACAGGTTGGGCCAATAGAAGCAAACCCTTATGGGTAGTTCTAAATTAAGCCACATAATTAATATTCACAGTCCATAATTAAAATTATTTAATTGAATATAAATGATACTCGTATATCTATGACTCCGTATATCTCTGTAGTATGCCCCACGCCTTCTCTTGTTCCGAAATGGCGGGCAGCTCGGCAAGTCGCCAAGGATGCTAGTCGCCAATTCACAGTCGCTGTGAATCTCCAGAGCTGCGCACTCGGCAAGTCGCCAGTCGTCCCACCGCACACGACGGCACGCTCCCGGTCTGCACGGCCGCGCCCTTATTAGCAGTAGCAAGCGGTCAAGGCCTTAGGCCCGATTTGGCGATTTCCGATTGACGATTGTCTTGCACTCTAACCACTCTTGCTCCAGCCGCCGCTCCGATACTCGGCTATCAGTAGAGATGGTTGATTCGCTTGTGAGGGTTGCGTTGTAAACACAGGTTCAATTCTCTGATGATGGCTCCCTTTTAAAATTAGGCTATTTATTTATTTATGTTTTTGCAAATGTTTAAAAAAAAGTAAACATTCCATCAAAAAGTTTAAGGTTGGCATGACTAAACATTTGTCTCAATTCTATTATTTTTCTGTAGGTAGAAACTATGATTGTATATTTGACTAATAGTAATAGCATATAAAAGATTTGAATAGAAATGCCACGAAAGATATAGGTTCTTGGGTAAAATGGTTGTAGACTTGTAGTCTAAAAATTAACTTTGACATCGAGCACTCGTAAGTTTCAAGGGAACAAGCTGGCCGTGCCTGGCATGAAAAAGAGAATTGTGCAACAAAATCCTCTTGTTTCGCATGTGCATACTCCCTCCGTCCATAAAGAAATACTGTCTTACACAAATATTTATATAAGATAAAGTTTTATTTTGATTTCTAGAATATACTTTTTTTATGTCAAATCAAGTAAAAATAAGTGTAGTTGTAACTCTTCCTATAAAAATGTTTTCTTTGTGTTGAAACTAGAACTTGATTTATGGCATCTAAAAAGGGAGAGTGAAAGACTTATTTTGGGTTGAAAGGGGTATATTATTTCTGTGCCAATATTAAAGTTGAAGTTGATAAAAGATAAACTACGATCAACCATGTCTTATGATAAATTAAGCGGATCAGCAATGTTATCTATTGAAATTAAAGTGTTAGCTAGTCTTGATTTGTAGTGACCTTCTCACTAATTTTGCACTTCAAAAGTCAATGAGAATTGGGTATTAAAAGTACACTTTTTAGCGCATTTTGTGTATGATACATTTAACACTTTATTATTTTGATTTTCACAATATATGTTGCATTTGCATTTAACTTATCTTATTTTTCATGATTGTTTTATACAAATTACATTGATATGATATATGTTCGTTGAAGCTTTTCCGCCTGAAGCCTCCAAATCGCTGGAGCTGGCCCTGAATTGACGACCTAGCTCTCTACCGACATATATTCGCCTCCTTGCTTCTCCCTCTCCGTTTCCCTCGCCATCCATGCCGGACGTCTCTTAACCATCCAAACACAGCCCAATCTCTGCCCCTATCGTCTCCCCATCAGTTCGGACGAAGCCTCTGGCACGCCGTGTAACAGTTTGACGTTGGTCGTTTCATTACTAACTATTTCCTTATATTTTCGAATCTTATATTGTTTGTTCTTCTAAACTGCTTTCATTTTTCATCAGCGGTAAAGAGGTCAAACATAGAAGCCTAGAAGGTGTTGTTGAGGTTCGTTCTTCATCCATTCTTTCATTTTCTGATTTTGCGTTTTGACTGTCAAATTGCATGAAGATTAAGTGTTTTTTATTCACATTTTCTGCATTTCAAAAGTGATCCGCCTCATGTTAAAATGACACTTCAAATGTTTCCTTTATTTTATACTCAAGCATGTTTGAGGGAAGTAGTACACTAGTACACTATCTCCAATTAGTATATTAGCATGTGCAAATCTAGGACCAGAGGACAAGTAAATAATTGGGGCAAGAAATCTTAATATGCATTTCACTATAGAAGTAACTCTACTCATGTTTTCTAAGAAGTAATTTGGGCTTTCCACAATAAGTTTTTGAATTTGGCCAGCTGGTAAAATGAGCATCTCCCTTCTTATGAATACTGAATAATCCTTATTTTTAGCATTTGTACCGATTTTCTCTTTTATAGACAGTATATAGTTGTAAATTGCAAAGATACTGCCTCTGTATATAAAAGATTGCAAGACTAGACTTTTACACAAAGTTTAAGAGTGAAATGGTATGAGTAATTAATACTGTAGTGTGAGTAAGGCACTTACATATTTTTTAATGAAAATATTACCTTTAAGAGATTTTTTTTTTCAAAAAAAATTAGTACGAATAAAAGGTGCTGCAATCTTTTACATACAGAGGGAGTAATAGATTATGCTGGGGATACGGGATACCCCTAGATGATAACAAATTCTATAATGATTAGATACTCATTTCTGATTAGTTACAGGAGACATAAATACTGGTTGTATATGGAAGGTGTTGAGAACTTCAAACATGTTTTGGCCTTTTGGCAGTGATGGTTCTAACTTCTAACAAGGATGAAGTGTTCATGTCAATTTTTTATGTGAGAAGGATAATAAACAAATTATATATATAAATGGAATTCTTTTAAAAATATAATTAATATAATCATCATTCATTTATATTCCTCAATATATACTTAAGTTTGCCATAATCTAAATATCTTAAAATTTATTAAAATCAATGTATTAAAAACAATATCCTGTGGGTTGCACGGGTGTAATTCTAGTGAGTAGTGTTATCATATTCACTTTTGGAAAGTAAATACATGCTTGAAGTGTATAATACAAAGTATATTTTTAGAAATAAAGATGTAATGTGTGTGTGTGCTCACATCTTATTATTTTGAAAAACCCTTTTTTAGAAATCAAATTTGATCACAACATTTTTGTTTTTAAGTGTTGAATTGAGACATTGAGATCTTCCACACTTGGGAGACACAATTCTTATATGTTCTTTGAATGCTATAAGTACTCACAACCATCTCCCGTTTCAACATCAATTATTTCCCAACAACCCAAAATCTCCAAGCCCTATTAAAACAAATAAAGTTAAAGTTAAAAACGTTTTTTGTGTAAATTGTAGAAACTGTAGAAGAACATTTTTACCAAGTCATTCTGAAATAGGGATTCAATTGTGACAATATTCTAAAATGTGAAATGTAATTGTCATTGAATTATTACAGCTCTTTTTTAACCAATTACCAAATGGTTTAAATATACCTTGTCATCATGAAGATTGCATTCCATTGTGTTGGTCACATTATTGTTAAAGAAAGTTGGACATCCATACGCACGCACCGACACACCAGTCTCACTTATATTGCCCAGTTTGTCTTAAAGGTATTAAGCTCTTGGACCGGATTCTATTGAACAACATCATCTGACCTCGATTACACACTGTGACAATTATTCATAATTGTAGTATAATAACTTAAATAGCTAAACAAAACATCTGCAGCTACGGAAAAGTGAAGATATTGAGTAGTTAGAGTTTAGCACGTAGAAAAGCTTTCCTAAACTGTGATTAGACTGATTGCTCGAAAAAGGCTATTCATAGTTTCATAAGCCTCACTTTCTACAGGAAATGTTGTGGAAACTATCAAAACTTGCCACTAATACGTGCATGTTGCAACCTTGAAAACTGCTGATTGGAAACTGCCTTTAGTTTTTGCGTGTATCCATTTGTTCATGGTTAACGTGTTATGGTATCTTGCATCTCTGGTCTTATATATTTTTGCTAAGATTGCTACATGTTATGGTTTTAATATTCTATGGCTCCCTACTCTTTTCCCTATCATGAATGATTCTTTCTTACAGATCAGATCATATTATTGACTCACATGTGACATTTGACTTACATAAAATGTGTCCACTAATCTTTTTATATAATTAAATTTTGCAAGTGCCTAAAAAATGACTGCATGGATTTGGATTTTGTGTGCAACCAAGTAAATGAAATGTGGGCCCGATTACTTCATCTCAGCACATACGGTCTCTTAGTATAATTATTGTGGGCCAACATTGTACATTCTTTTAGCCTGCTTGCTCTACTGTTTTTTCAGAATGATTGTGGTCCAGTTATTTTTTTTGGCGCGAATAGTTCTGGCTCACGATTCTCTTTTTATATATGTATGTATAGATTTGGAGAGATGCACCAAAATCAAAGACCGAAATGAGTGTCTCATTTGCTACTGAGCCAGTCGACCCGCGATGCGTGCACACACAATCCATCAAAACCGGTGCCGCAGCCACTAACCGCGGGGCGCTCAACAATCTCATCACCATATACTCCAAGTCTGGCTGTCGCTCCGAAGCCGTTCGCATATTCCAGTCCATCCCCACCCCCAATGTTGTCTCATGGACTTGCCTCATCTCCACCTTTCATGACTCATTCCTCTCCTTCCACCACTTCCTTTCCATGCTCCGCCACCCAGGCCGTATCCTGCCCAACAACCGTACTTTCGCCGCCCTCCTTAAAACTTGCGCCTCCCTTTCCGCTTTCTCCTTTGGGATCCAGGTTCACTCTTTTGCGCACAAATTGGGTCTCTCCTCTGAGCCTTTCACAGCCTCTGCACTCGTGTCTTTTTACTGTAAGATGAGGTTTCTTGACAATGCCCAGAAAGTGTTTAATGAAACACCTGATAAGGATGAGGTCTGTTTCTCGTCAATGATTGTTGGTTTGGCTCAGAATTGTAGAGCCATTGAGGCTTTATCTCATTTTGTCGAGATGAAGAGGAATGGGGTGGCATCTACTACGCACAGTGTTTCAGGGGCATTGCGGGCAGCTTCAGAGATGGCTATGTTTGAGCAATGCAGAATACTTCACGCGCATGCAGTAATTACGGGTTTGGATTCAAATGTTGTTGTTGGTAGTGCTATGATTGATGGGTATGGGAGATGTGGGCTTATAAGGGAAGCTCGTGCCGTGTTTGATGGACCGGGAATTTTGTTGAATGCCGTTGGGTGGAGCACACTTATGTCAGCGTATGCGCAACAAGGAGATTTCAACAGCGTGGTTGAGCTTTTCGGGTCAATGCTAAGTCAAGGTATGCAGCCTGATCAGTACAGTTTCCTAGCGGTGTTGACTGCATTTTGTCACTCCGGGATGGCGGAAGAGGCGGAACGATGGTTTAGAAGGATGCAGGAAGATCACGGTTTGGAGCCATGGCTCGAGCACTACACATGTTTGATATATGCTATGGGTAAAGCCGGGCAACTGGAATCAGCTGAGATGGTTGCCTCGACAATGCCGTTCAAGCCAGACGCGGCTGTGTGGCGTGCTCTATTGTCAACAAGTGCATACCACGGGAAGACTGATATGGCATGGAAGATGAGAGACAGGTTGTTGGAGATCAACCCTAATGATGACTCAGCTTACGTCCTTTTAGCGAATGCATTCGCAAGTGCAGGTCGGTGGGATGAGGTTAAGCATGTGTGGAAGGCAATGAAGGAGAAGGGGATTAGGAAGGAAGGCGGGAGAAGTTGGATTGAGTTACACGGACAGATTCATGTTTTTTTGGCAGAGGACAGAACACATGTGAGGAGGGATGAGATTTATGAGAAGTTGGGAGAGTTGAAGGGAGAGATTGAGAAGCTTGGGTATGTCCCTGTATGGAATGAGATGTTGCATGATGTAGATGAGAAGCAAAAGACAGAAGCACTCTGGTATCACAGTGAGAAGCTAGCCCTGGCATTTGGACTATTGAGTGGATCAACACCTCCCGGTAAACCGCTGAGGATAGTGAAGAATTTGAGGATATGCAGGGATTGCCATGAAGCTTTCAAGTATATTAGCAGACTAGTAGAGAGGGAGGTAATTGTTAGGGATGCAAATAGATACCATACATTCTTGCATGGCAGTTGTAGTTGTGGAGATCACTGGTAGTCTGGTAGGTAACCTATGACGCTCGGAATCTCTTACGGAGTCATTTTCACATTTCAGAAATATTTACGTAACCTTTATTGCCACAGTTTTTCATTCGAGGACAATGCTTTTCGAAGTGTGTTGATATTTGCTCTGAATCTTGACTCATCTATAAATCAAGTAGATGAGATGAATGTGTCGCTCCAGAGTATTCCTTATCTGAATTGACGCTCAATCGTCGAACTGGACAAGTACTTGATCTGTTCTGCTCAATTGGTGAAACTTATCTGCAAGTGTGCACCATGGTGTATCTTCATGCTTTTATAGGTATGCGTAAACATGAAGGTGAAGGCATTTCTATGGAGATTGTTTAATAATGTACTACCCATTTCTGGTACCTTTGCAAGATTTAACATAAGTTGTCATTGGTGCCTATCAGACAGTTCTACACCAACAACACTTCCTAACCTTTTCCTTCTGTTTTTCAGGGTTGGCAATACTTTACACCTCTCCTACAGGAGTATTGCAGCATTATCTTACTCTGAACAATGTATTTACTCACGGCGGCTTAGCTCTTCCAGATCTAATCTAGTAGGGCAATATAGTGGTTTTACCTGGAGTTATTTGGTGGTTTCTTTGAAAGTCCTATTGTTCTATGAACTAGGTGGATGAGAAAATTGAAGGCTCCAAATTTACACAGTTGTAAAGCAGTGCCTACTTGGTGTAATTTTCATTCTAAGAAGTTTGGTAGGAAGTTCAGAGGGAGTCAAGGGGCTGGCCTACCAAACCTAGCATACAGCTAGATTATCAAGTGCAGGGCTGCTGCTAAATAGTAAAGCTTAATTTGCCCAAATCTTTGTATATGATGAGTGCACTGGAAGGGCATTGCTCTTCAGGATTGCAGGTAGCTGCAATGGCATTCAACACAGATGATCCTTCATGCGAAGCTAAGGCTTTATTAGCAGTCCACCTTTGTTCCGAACAGAAAGGTGATAGGGAGTTAGAGGCTGACTCTTCCTCTAGAGCTCTATTTGAAATTATGATTGGAAAGCCTCCTCCTTGTAGAGGTTTGTTTGGTGCTTGGGTGAATCATGGCCAGTTTGCATCTCAATTCTTGCAAGCCAATCATGTAACTCATAGATTAGCCCTTAATCCTTATTGACAATAGCTTAAGGTTTTCCTTGTTTTTACTAGTACCAATTAATGCATAAATCTTTCAACGAAATCTGATTTTTTTATTTCGTCTCTTATATAGGAAAGTTAATCATTATGCTTTTACTTCTAAATAAATATTCGTAGTAAGTAGGCATGGTGTATTTTGAAAATTCCACTTCATTCTCGTATAAGTTGACTTATTTTTTGTTATTAATTACTCGTGTAATTGTTGTGATTAAAATTGCAAAACAAAAGTCTCCCAAGCACCCAAGTAAATGTGTATAAATTTTAAACCAAACTGCAAAGTTGATTTTTATATAAATATAATACATTATAGTTAGATTTAATCAAATTGGACCATAGGGCTTGAAAACTAATCGACATTTAGAAAGACTCTAGTTACTGAAGATGAAATGACTCTAGTAACATGTATAAACTGTCTGACTAGTTATTATTTCCCTTGTGCCTTAATAATAGAAATTCTGTACAGACCAATGTACTAGTATCCTATTATTGCAGTGAGTTTATGAACAATAACTTTATGTGTTTTTTTATACTGCAGCTTGTGGGCCGGAGGGGCTAATGTCATAGTTGACATCATTCTTGCCTGCCTGGTTAGATGCATTTGGGGATCACATACGTTAATTGATTACTCTAACAAGGAGGTAAAAAGGCAAGATCATGTTTCAGTCGAAAAAGTTATTTGGTCAAAGCATAAATATTTTGAACTATGTGATTTTAAACTCATTGTTGCCTCCTATTTTTCCATGCAGGGTGGGGGGGTGGGGGGTGGGGGGAGGATAATATATGATTATGCTGATTTTTGAATTTGATGTCATTATTTATTTCTTTAGAAGGTTTCAATAGACGATACCACTACGTTTTTTTGAATTTATTTATTGTTGACCAATTTTGTCATTGAAATGGCGCTGAGTCCCATGCCCGACCCCAACATAAATGTGGAGTCGGGTGATGATGATGAACTTGTTGGTAAAAACAATGTTGATTACTATCATGAATCCATGATGCATTACATTTCTGAATTAGAGTGTTTAGTCTTGACGCAAACCTTAGTTTGTGTAATTTCCTTGTGTTTATGCATATAGTGTGAAATTTGTGTTCATGCATTGCATATATAATTTACCTCTTGTTTATTTGTCCATCTTATATCCTGTCCCTCATCTCCTCTTCTCATTACTATGTATGTACTTTGTGGCAGACTAGCTTTCTGTCATACTTGGAAGGCCTGAATTAAGGTTGGTGACAATCTGTGCAAACCGGGTATTAGATTACACCCGAAGTAAGATTCGATTGTTTGGGTGGTGAGACAAAATTATTGATTTTATCTGAATTGTTGTGTATATTTGTGTGAATGCATATTTTGATCACCTAATTTTGTTTTGATCTTGTGTAATTAAATCACCTAGAGGGTGTCATTCGAGTAATATTTTACAAGCATAATTTTAATATTTCATTTATCCCAAATAGAATTGTAATTTGTGGATTTTAAGGATGATTGATGGTAAAATAAAACTATCATTGTGGATAGTTAAAGTGACTTTTAATAGTTAGATTTACAGAAATTACATTAAAAATAATATAAAGTTGCAAAATTTAAATTAGACTATGATAAAATTTTGATATGCTAAATATATAAATTTTACCTCGTATCATTTAGGAAAACAGTCATAAAAAATCTTATACTATCACAAAATAATCACTTAAGTCTATCTACTAAAAGACTATCACATAGATACATGTATTACTCAAAGAATCCAGTAACCTGTAATAGCAGGTTAAAAACATTTTTCTTTTTCATTTCATGTCCTTTTCTGTTTATTTTTCTTCTTGTTTTTGCATTTTCTATAAGTTCTGCTAATTTTTTTTCAGCCTTTCTTTTCTTTTTTTCCCTTCTGCTTTATCATTCCTTCCACTCTTTATCTCCTGGACACAAAACTAAAATACTTTTTTAAACTCAGTAATAGTCACCGGATGAATATTGGTTGAATATTTGATTAACTCATTAAAGTGTTCATTAACTCATACTCCGTGTTGAATAATAAAAATTGTCTTTCAAAAAAAAAAGAATAATAAAAATTGAACTTTTAATATACTCCCTCCGTCCCTATATAAAAGTATCCATTCATTTTACACACATCTTAAGAAAGTGGGTTTGGTTGGTACTGTTTGGCACTGTTTGGACACTGTTTTGCACTGTTTTGCATAGGGATGGATTCGGTTCGGGCCACCCGGCCTGTGACCCGGCCCGGTACTGTGCGGGCTCGGGACCGGCCTGGTCGGGCGGTCCGGGACCGGGTATGGACCCGAACCGATGGGAAGGGGCGGGGGCGGGCTCGGTTCTGGATTTTTGTGACCCGGCCCGGCCGGGTCGGGCCCGGGTCTATTTTTTTTAAAAAAAATTTGTTTTGGTTTGGGCTCCTACTAGCCGTTGAGGCCTTGGGGGTGGGGCTGGGGACAACCCAAACGACTATATAGCCGTTGGGTGGGGTAAAGGGGGGGTCCGGGGGGGTTGGCTGGTAGGGGGTGGGGGTGGGGCGTGGGAGGTAAAAACACCTATAAATACTCCTACTCTTAAACATTTTTTCATATCTCTTCTCCAATTCTTCCTAAATCCTATTCTTAACTCTCTACTCTCTAATTCTCTTATTCTCCAATATATTATATATCTACTCTAATTCTCTTCTCCAAGAAGTTAAGATGGAAAATCAAAATGTCATTATACGATATAATTTTGATAAGCAGAAGGACCCGAAGACCGGGATGTGGTACGCAATTTGCAAATGGTGCGAAAAAAAATGTATCATGGGGGCTTCAAGCGGATTCGGGATGACAATCAAGCATATGAAGTCATGTGACAAAGCCAAAGGATCGGGAGGTGCGGGAAGTTCTGATTGATTACAATTTTCAAAATGCTTATCTCTTAAAGTTTGTTTTAATTTTCAAATGTAGTTCCTATTTCATTTCAAATAAATGCAATTGAAGTTTGTTTTTAATACTCGTATAAAACTATAAACTATAAAATATAAATTATATAAAAAATATTAACCGGCCCGGCCCGAACCGGACCCGACCCGTGACCCGGGGGGTGGCCCGGCCCGAACCGGACCCGTCCAACCCTCGGGCCGGTCCCGGGCCCACTTTTCTTGAACCGGCGGCCCGACTGGGCCTAGGCCCGGCCCGGGCCCGACCCGGACCGAATCCATCCCTAGTTTTGCACTGTTTTGTTTGCCAAAAAAGGAAAGAGAACTTTTATTTAGGGACGGCCCGAAAAGGAAACAGATGCTTTTATTTAGGGACGGAGGGAGTATGAAATTATAACAGCAAAGACCAACCGCTTTAAACAAATGAAGGAAGAGGTCTCTGGAAGCATGGTGAAAGATACAGAGAACGAGAGAAAGAAAAACAATAAAATAAATGAAAGCAAGAGATAAGAATAGGGATGGACTCGGGTCCGGGCCGGGCCTAGGCCCGGTCGGGCCGGCGTGTCAGAAATGGTGGACCCGGGACTGGCCCGGGTAACCACTGGGTCCGGGTCCGGGCCGGGCCGGGCCGGGCCCATTATTTTTTTTTTTTTGTTTTCCTCTTCCTAATTAACCCCCTCCCACCCCCAACCCCCCCAAACCACCCCAAATGGCCCAAAATACCCAGCCCAACCCGAAAATTTAAAAAAAATTGAAAAAAAAGAAAAAAAAAATAGTTTTTGGCCCGAACCGGGCCCGGCCGGATCGGGCCTTGTTTTGGGTGACCCGAGCCCGGACCGGAAAACCCACGGGCCGGGCCTACCCGGACCGGTCACTGACCGGGCCACCGGGTCGGGCCGGGCCGGAACAGTACCGGTCCCGGGTCGGGCCACCCGGCCCGAGTCCATCCCTAGATAAGATGCAAGCAAGAAGATGATTGGTAAACCACTAAACCTTAAGAAAGAGATGATATGTAAGTAACCGACCTACTAAACAGGTCATTTACGGAAATTTTCTGGTCATTCGGATCAAATGATTGTTTGCCCATAGTATATAGATATAGAGTGGCATTCGGGTCAGATCGGCCTGACCGGAACCGCCGTCCGACCAAACCAATTTGAGGGCTTTCTGCGTTGAACACTTGAACCAGAGAGATTTGGTAATAAGGGCTACAGGCTGTGAGGGTATTGGAGAAATATTGATGGGGTAGACATGCCTTCCCTATGTGGTTGTCTTTCGCAACAATTATTATCCACACACAACTTATGAAATAACACTAAAAAAACACTAAGAGGCCGTTTGGTAACACTGTTTATCGGTTTATAAGGTTTATCAGTCAACTTTTTCACCAAACATGTAACTTTTGCTTTCGCGCGCTGAATTGTGTAATAAGCAGAAAAAGTAAGTTGGAGTTACTTTTCTGGCTGTATTGGCTGAAGTTACTATATATTTTTTACATATAATTTTTTCTTTATTCTATTAATAAAATATATTTTAAAAGTATTTTTTTCTTAAATCACCAGAATAAGCCAATGCAGCCACTTCAGCCAGAACTTCATAAATTGTATTTTCGTGTTACCAGAATAAGGACGATTGAGAAAGATTTAAGGTAGCATCGCCAACACTTGCAATGAGTAAATTAGAACAATTAGCCACTTGTCAGTTAAAGGAATTGAAGGACTAAGTATACCTGCAGAAGAGGTAATATGCGCGCTACCTCTAGGGTTATGAATCTATGATACCAGATGAGTCATGTGATTCAGCCGCAGTGGCGGACCCACGTGATCCCTAACCTTTTAAATCTCTAATCTCTAATTAATATAAAACTAAGGTCGTTTAGAAAATGAAGTGACATAAATAACCGTTCATTTAGAAAATTAATAACCGTTCATTTAGAAAAATAATATTTATGTCACAGATAGAAAAATAATATCCTATCATTATAGTATGTTTATTCCAATAATTTTCTAAACAAACGGTTATTTATGGCACCTTACAATAATAAATAGGGAAAATAACTTTAAATAATACAAGCTATCTTCGATTAACCAATAATAATACATACTTTAGAAATAGCTTTTAATAATATCAACTATTTGAGTGTAGAACAAAAATTAAATGGAGTCACTTTTTAAAAAAAATTCACTAATTTAAGACATTAAAAACTAATATTGAACCAATAAATAATATTCGGAAATACGCTTACTAACTTTATATTTTGATAGGAGTTTTTTATGAATTAAATGACTAATGTTTTAGTAAAGAATTGCTATGTATTAGTGTTAGTACTATTTATGCTGTTTTCCCTTGCCAAAAAAGTTGTTTTCTCTAATAAATAGGGAAAAAACAAAAAAGGATGCTTAAGGAAATTGACCCCTGCACCTCCCGTGAGTGGGAAACTTTTAAATTCAAGCATGCTTTCATTGCTCCAATGCCAACTTTATGTTCTCAATTAGCTTTCGCCTTACATTTACATTGTATTATTAATTTATATAAAATACATATAATATATATAGGTATTTTTTGAAAGTTCATGGGTCCCGGGACCCCGTGGGACCCTTGATGGGTCCGCCACCGTTCACCGGTAGGTAAAACAGCTAAAGCAGGTGTGGCAGGAGGTGTGTATCGAAAGTGGCATGAGATGTCTGAGTGACCTAGACTAAAACCAATTTGACACACACTAGGGGAACCGAACCAGACCCATTGAGTAAACATTACTACATTAGGATCAGAATATCACTTACTAGATCAAACATATGCAGTACCTGAGTTCCCATGAATATGTCCTCCAAGATGAACCCCTGGTGCACGATAAAAAGTAGGAGCCCGTTGTCCATAAAAACTGTGGCCTCGGCCACAACTGCGGCCACCCCTGCCGTGGGATCCACACTGTCTTCGGCCACCATTAGATTGGTCGTGTTGTTGCCCAGATGGGGCTGCCCTTGCCGGTGGCAAGTGCGTCGGTGATCACTTTGTTTTGTCGTAAATACTGTTCCATAGTTTGACTCTTGTTTCTTCACATGAGATAACATGCGTTTGAGCTCCATTAACGACCAAGACCAGCATACATAAACCGGGCTTGGAGATGTTCCCAAATTTGAACAAAAACTTCATATCATGAACATCGACAAGAATATCTCTTGAAAGAGTACGCGACGAATATTCAAGTGTAATCCATATTTAAAACTTGGTGTCGAGATGCATTAATAACATATAACGACGGTACTGGTAACGAGCCATCAGCAACCCCCGATAAATCATGAGGAACCAAAAAACATTTAATTGTGTAGATAATTTGGTTGTGACAATATTAGTTACATTTGGAGCGGAGAAAACTAGGTAGGATTGCAAAGTAGCAAGAGGGATAGACATGAGTTGCGAATTGAAGGGATAGACTACGAACCCGGATGGCCAGACATGGTAGATCCAGCGAAATGGCAGAGACGAAACATCTGGTAAAGAGAACGCAGCCTGGTGGGAGACTGGATGATTTGTCAATGACGGAACCCATGAGACAAAACAACATGTATAATATTCATCCTTTTTCAAACAACTAAGCGCAAAATCTAATACTTTAGAGCATGTATGAGATTTGTCTAAAGAGAAAGTGGAAATTAAAATTTATTTTAAATTATTTACAATCAATACAAAAAACTTTTGGTAAAAAAGAAAATGAATCAATATACACAACCTTTACAAATACAGTTGAACTTAAGACTACACTATATATATTGTATAAAAATTAGTTCAAATAGGACTAAAACTATGGAAAACCCCTAAAATAGGACTTGCTATGTTTTTATTCCAAAATATGACCATATGAGTCCTATTGGAAACATACCTATTTTTGCATTCCATTCTTACCCTTCCATTAAATATGAATTAAAAATAGTCAAAAGCCATAATTAAATGTTTAATTCATAATAAATTCGAAAAAATAAAAAATTCGTAGAAATATAATTAAAAAATTTATAAATTTTTTATAAAATAAAATATTCAAAAACATTTTTTTTTCAAATAATTTTATTTTTAAAAAAATTAATAAAAAATAGTAAAACTCCGTAAAAAAAATTTAAAAAAATATGGATGCCTTTCCCACCGCCTATACTACCTCCCAGCACCACCACCTCCGGCCAATGAAAAAAATGCCATTTTCCCAGAAACATGCCATTTTTTTCTGAAAATGCCAAAAAAGTGGCATATTTCTCTTTTCGAATGCCAACATTTTCATTTTTTTCTGCCATAAATATGGCATTCGTAATGAACTTGGCATTTTTTTCCCCTGGTGACTGGAGGTGGTGCTGGTGAGGCGGCAGAGGCGGCGGCGATTTTTTTTTTTGAGTTTTTATTTTTTTATTTTTAATTTTTTTTAATTTTTTTAATTTTTTGAGAAAAAAATTAATTAAATTTTAAATATCGAAATGTTTTTCTTAATTTTTTAGTATTTTTTACGAATTTTTATTATTTTTTATTATTTTTTTAGGAATTAAAACATTTTAATAGCTATAAGGGTATAATTGTCCAAGGTACACATAATTAATCCTATGCAAACATAGTTCATTTTTTGGTCCTATTTGTGAAAAGGGAATGACTTTTAGTCCTATTTTGATAATTAACTCTATATTGTATACCAAATTATGCGTTTAATTACTTATATTATATTGTCATTGATTAATGTTTGGTGTATATTTATTTTTGTATACCCATTACTGTGGTTTTGATCATTGGCAAAATATTGAAAGAACCAAAACTGAAACTGAACAAACCATGATTTCAAATTTTGGAAGATAAAATGAGTTGGATCGAATTTTTTACATTGGTTAGGCATTTGGTTTTAGGTCAAAACTTAACCGTTTGAATCAAAATCGTCCCTACTAATAAGATTTATGCAGGGCCTTTGATTCGATTCGATCCTCTCCATCACGAATGTTTAATCTTTCTTGGCGCGGCCATAGAGTGAAATGATGTTGTCTATTGTCTTTTTGAGTAGATTCTTTTTTGTAGGATTAACATTCCATGTTTTGCTTGAGTTTTCTTGATAAGCCTCTGTCGGACACCATGAGCACCACAAATGCTATTGTGGATTCTTTACTTGATGCATATTGTTTTTAATCGGTGGTCATATTATATTTTGTAATGGCGCTGCTAATGTTGGTCGTCGTCCATGAAAGCTATGACATGATCCAAACTTACATAGCCAATTTTGAAGAAGGAAATTTGATAAAAAATCAGCAGCTATCAATCTGATACTTCAATTCAGTTGATCATAACAAGGAAGTATGGTTAGAACATGAAAATAAAAGGTTGGACTAGCGATGGGGTGGGGGCCACGCGAACCCCCACGAATGGGATCAATGGCTAACACCATTCATCACAATCAAAAGACATGGTCAATGGCTTCCACCATTGACCATGTCCGGTGTACGGGATCATTAGCTTCCACCATTGACCACGTCCGATGGACGGGATCATTGGCTTCCACCATTGACCACGTCCAGTGAACGGGATCAATGGCTCACACCATTGACCACGTCCATGGTAATCCGACGTGCCTAGTTCGGCTTTTATAAGCTCCAGCTCGCCTTCTGCTCTTCTTTGTTTACGGTGTGGGATACTTATAACCGAATTCCCCACCCAGCCATCATTAGAATGCCAAATATGATTTCATTGTGCCCTCCGCTTTGCACATAACAAACTCCACCAAGCCCACCCATTACTTGTATTAATTAATCAGCTTTTCTTTTCCAACATCAAATTACTTACATTAATTCAAATTACAACTAGTTTTTCACCCGTGCGTTGCACGGGGTTAGCAATTATGGATCTATTTATAAATCACTTGAGTTTTCCCAGTCAATTAATTAAATTAAAATTCACATTGTTGACTATATGCAAGTGTACAAAGTATCAACTAATTTGTAGGTTATATTTTAATATGTATCAATATATTAGTCCTACAAAAAATCAACATGTATAAAAAGTGAGTTTACAATTATGAGTCTGGCAACTTATCCTCAAGCATATAGGGACCTAATAAACACCTCAATAAGAACTTAATAAAGATGTTAATACTAAAACAATTAAAAGAGATATTTGTAATATAGCAACAATTTTCATCCAACATAAATATATTTCAAGAAGGTGAGATTTGTACAAAATTGATCTCATAACTCCTGAAAAAGTTGATGATTCTAGTGATAAATCTCATCCTCTCTCGAAGCTGCAAGAAGTGTAACGGAAATGAAAAACTGTAATGTTCGTTGAATAAAGTAAAGAGTTATATCAAGTTCATAATCGTCTCATAGAAGTACAACTAAAAAAATACAAAAACAATGCTGATAAATGATACAAAGTATGTGAAATGAAATATAAGTGTGTTTCAATAAAGATTGTTGATAATAATTGGAAAAAATGAAACTGTTGATTGCTTGGTTTCTTAAGAATGAGCACTAATTACTTGTAAGATTTGACAAAGTAACATCGATGAATGATATCTATTAAATAAAACCGTTGATAAATAATATACCTACTTGGTATCACCAAGCCTTGAAGTACCTATTAACTAATAACCTTTAGACAATTTAATGAAAGAAGAGTTAGAATGAAATGAAAATTAATACTATGAATAACATTAGTCAAGAAATTAATTTATAGTCTAAAGTCAAATATACATACCTTATTATTAGAAGCATGACTGATTTAGTCCAAGTTTCTAAAAACCTCCTTATAAACAACATTGGTTGTTGACTTTGTAGAACGACCATCTTTATCACACATTAAGATCTTCAAACCTTCACGCTTTGTAACTCTAGAGACTCCAACATATAATTGTCCATGTGAAAAATTGGGTTTTGCAAGAAAATTCCAACTCTAGAAAGTGACTGTCCTTTACTTTTATTAATAGTCATCACATATGAAACAAAAAGTGGGAACTGCCTTCTCTTGAAGTTAAATGGTAGACTCAAATCAGATGGGGTTAATGTCATTCTTGGAATCAAGAACTTTTTCCCTTGATTAAAGCCATTCAAAATCGATGCTTCTATAACATGATCAGCAAGTCTTGTGACCATTAATCTTGTACCATTGCAAAGTCCGGATGAGTGATCAATATTTCTCATCAGCATAACAGGAACACCAACCTTTAACTTCAATTCATGATTGGGAACTCCTGAGCACTTAAGTCCATTTAAAAATTCTGGAGTATGTAGCTCACTAAGCAATTGATCATCATAATCTGACTGACAAATTTCATCTGAACTAAGATAAGTGCGCACATCAGATTGATCTTTCGAAACCATGTATTCATTAATCATGTCAACCATAGAAAGCGTAGGTGCCAGTATTGCCCTTCCATCTAAATATGTTGCATCTCCAAAATGTGAAGTAAAATCGGGATATGTACTATCTACTATAGATGCAACAGGGTCGGTTGAGCTGTTTATTAGAAGATCTTCAGGAATTTCAACAATTCCATGTCCTTCATGATCTTCACCAAGTATGCCATCCCCAAGACTTAAGATCCACTCAGCAAAACTTTGCAATTCAATGCACGAACGGTCACCAGATTGATCTTGCAATCTTATATTCTTTGTCAATTTCAAGACCTTAAATAAGATTAGAAGTCATTCTTTAGAGGAAAACTGAGTTGAAATTCCGAAAACTCCCAAAGAACATAATAATTTTAGAGATACATCTAACTGTTCTTGTTGGTCCCGGTTGTACTGGATACAGTCTAGAGGGGGGGGGGTGAATAGACTGTATTGGTTTTTAACTTTTTCAAGCTAAGTACCATATTTAACAGAATAGCCTGTTCTGTTGGCAGAACAGACTGGCAGCGGATGAGGTTCTGGTAGGGAGTTCTGTTAGTTTAGCCTCAGAGAAGCAAAGGCAGTAGGCCTTTTGTTAACTCACAAGACAAGTTCTGCTGAACACAGATACCAAGTCTTTGGAGTTAAGCAGTTCAAATAAAAGCGATAAATAAAATGCAGTAAGTAAATGACACCAGGGCTTTTTATAGTGGTTCAAGGAACAACTTGTTCCTCTAGTCCACTGTTCCACTAAGCTTGTAAAAACGACCGTATACAATGCCTTAGCCCTATCACTTAAGAAGCTCTCCACGTCTTCTTCAAGTGTAGATGTCTCCTTGGATGCACTTTTGGCTTCCTTAAGACTGGTCCTTTCACTGAGCTTTCCCGGAAGTATCACCACTTCACTGCTCCAGGTACTTGGACGTCCTTCTTGTAAAAGAAGAGTTTCTGTTAAAAACAGGGGTTCCTCCAACTTGCTTCGTTACAAAAGGTTTGTATATGAAGAGCTTGAAGAGTTGAAGAACGCTCAGAACTTTGCTTGAGTTGGGAGTAAGGATCTTTCCAACTTCTGCCTTCTCTTGTAGAAGATAATGAAGATTTAATCTCAAGGAGGCTTTTTGCGTTTTTAGCGTTTGAATATTTTGTATGCGCACTGTGGTAGCAAAGTTATCCGGTTGTTCTTCGTAGTGTATCTTTTATACCGAGGTTGTCTTCCCGTTGGAGGAGAAGGAGGACAACTGCATTAAATGAGCGGGCAGTTGACTTGACCAGTAGGACCCAGCAAAGTTGGCGGGTTACTATTTTGGGATAAAGTTATCCTGACATTGCGGCCAATCATCTGCAATTACTCTACAGAGTACGGGGGGCATTAAATG